GGCTGCCGCGCCAGCCCACTCCTCCCGCCGGCGCCCACTCCCGGGGGCTCCGCAGCCCCCAGCTCTCGGCCTGCACAGCCCCCCGCCCCCGGCCCGGCCCGGCCCGGCCTCCCGGCCATACCGCGGCAGCCGCCGCTGCAGCCCCCAGCCCTGCCCGGCGGGGCCCGGCCCGGCCCGGCCCGGCCGCCGCCACCGGGAGACGCCGGCGAGTTTGAGGAGAGCGCGGGGCGCGCGGCGCCGCCTCGATGTGCCCGGGAGCCGCCTCGGCGCCCCAGCCCCGCTGAGCAGCCCCGGCGCGGCGGCCCGAGAGGACAAGCGAGGAGGCGCGGCGAGCCCCGGAGAAAGGGAGCCAGCGAGAAAGAGCAAGCCCCAGAGCGAGCGCAGGGAGCGACACCATGCCCGGCTGGAAGAAGAATATCCCCATCTGCTTGCAGGCGGAGGAGCAGGAGAGAGGTGAGCGAGGCGGCGGGGCCGGGGAGGGAGGGCAGGGGTCCGGGCCGGGGCTGCCCGGTGCCTCCCTCTCCCGGCTCCCTCCAGACCCGTTCACCCGCCGACGGGGGAGGGGCGCCGCGCCCTCAGGGCCCGCGGGCGAATCCAGGTGGCGTCTTGCGAACTCTGATTCATTTTTTGAGGTGGGGGGCAGCGGGGGGCTGGGGGGAGGGGAGAGGGGCGGTGCCGCAGCGAACTTTTCGCTTGGGGAAAGATTTTTCTGGCGAGGTTGTAGGGGGAACTCCAGCTTCTGCAGGGCCCGCTCGCACGTGGAGCCCCGAGCGGCCGTCTGTGGGGTGAGTGCTGGAGGTGATGTTGGTGGGCAGGGAGGTGGGTTACTGCAGTGCTTTAAGTGACTTTTCAAACTTTCCTCCACCTCCCTCGGCCATCCTCGCGCAGTCCCCGCCTATGGCTGGGCTGCGACGGAGCTGCAAACCCAAAGTTGCTGGAGATTCATAAAGGAGGAGGAGGAGGAGGAGGAAGAGCGTAGGGGAGGCCAGGGGGCGCTGCCGCAGGTCTCTGGAGGGGGAGGAAAGAGTGGAAAGATTGTCCTCTCGCTCAGGGTCTGGGGCTGGGAGTGACTACTTGGAGATGAGTTATGCCCCAGCGCAGTCCTCGCTGTCAGTTTAATACCGCAGGACTGCGGGCTTTTCATAATTACTGCCTATTTTCTTTGCAAAAGGCGACTCTCCGTGCCTGGTGCCTTGCAGACCTTTTGTGCTTCAGCCTGACAAGTGTGCTGGACACGTTGCTTTTAAGTGACTTGCGGGGAGAAAAGTTGAAGGTCTTTTGCACCTTAAAGGCTTAGTTCTGTTGAGGTCATTTTGTGGTGTTTGGATTGTGCAGAGGTTGCCCAGGGAGTTCAGCTTGGCAACCTGGATATGATGTACTGAGTGCACCAGAATTTCCTATACAGGCCCCATGGGGCTAGAGGGGTGTGCCAGTGGCTCTGCTAGCATCCAGAGGGACGCTGGCTGGCAAGGTCCACAAGGGTTTATCCTGCTTCTACCCTGTCCTGTCCTGGCTTCAAGGAAGATGCTTTAGAATTGGATAGGTTTCAGGATGCAGGGGCTGCATGGGCTGTGGCAAACAGCCACTGCTGAGGTAGGTGGGGGAGGAAAGCAGGAGGCCAGTTTGGTGTGTGGAGAAGGCAGAGTTGTCAAGGGGGCCTAATCCAGCAGTGTGATGAGTTGGTATGGACGGTGGCTTGGTTATTAGGCATACTAAAAGTTTCAGGCTTTTGAATAGCACTCACTACTGAAGAACCAATGTACAATTTCCAGTTTTTCTCTAGGTGGCACAACCTGTCTTTGGTTTGTATCCTGTTTAATGACTCAGGGAATTCATCCCTTTTTAACCACTTCCTTATGTGCATTCATTTTCCAGCACACTTTATGGCAGGTGACCTTACGTTTACCCATTCAAAAGGCACCCCTGCTTTGGGAATGCTTCTGCTTCTCTCTTTAGTAAATCATGTCTTTAAAGTTGCAAATAGCAGTACCAATAATTTATAACCAGGTAAAAGTACTACATGAAAGCATTCTGTCAAGCATGGAGTGACTGTCTGTCCTATCAACTAAATTTCACAATGTACTTGGTGTTCGGTGTATCAGTTTGCTTTAAAAAAAATCACCATGCTTCTGACAAGTTTTATCAGAATGCTGAAGTGGGTAGATTTTCGGATTGTGACAAAATGTACTTGTATACGTCTTTTAGAAATATATGGTAACATTAAAAGATGATTGTCTAATCTGCTTGGTGGAGATAAGACTGAAATTCCTCCAGAACATAAAAATCTGAGTAAGAAATTGGGTATTCTGCCTTATCTCCTCCAATAGGAGAAAAGAGGAAATGTTTGTTACTTGTTGCCTTTTTTCACTTCAAATGTTTCTCCTTTCTTGCTTTAATTATGAGATGCTTTTCTAAATAATTAGTATTTATATTTGTTTGTTTGGTTGTAGCATTTCTTTTTGAAGTCCTGCTTCTTTGGGAATGGACAAATACATGGTTTTGTTTCTTTCACAATTTCCTAACTGGTGTTTGTGTTTCAACTGTGTGTGTGTGTGTGTGTGTGTGTGTGTATACATACATACATACATATATTAAATATATATTTAAATTAACTGAGCTGCCTATGTGACTTTTAATGCATATATCAGAGGACACTGCTTGAGCTTGGCTTATCCTTTTGGAAGAATTTCAGTGTAAAGAGATGAGAGATGTTTTCTATTTGTATTTCAGGTCAGATTGTGTTAAGCTGTTCCCTTGACACTTGAAATTCTAAGTGATTCAAATAATGTTGAATTGGATTCTTTTAAATATAAACAGAAAGATTAAATTGTCAGGTTGGTCAGGAAAATAATGAACACAGAACAAATACATTTAAAATTTTGTCTTGGGTTAATGTTGACCAAAAGGTCAATTTCTAATATCTTACTATTAAATTCTAAGGTTGGTTGTGCTCATCTAAACCTCTGCTCTTTCCACATTCGCCACAACCCCAATCTTCATCTAAACATTCTAAAACCCATTATGGGGACTACTCTAGCATAACATTTTTTTTAATGTAGATTTTATTTAGTAAAATCTCTTCTTGAGATGTAATGCAAATTAATACAAGATGCAAGCTTCTCTGAGGACCACATATTTGAAGGAGTAGGTATCTTAGCCTTATTCCTAAAAAAGAAAGAAATGCCAATCTCAATTCAAAGATTGAGGGAACATGCTTTTGTGGTATTACTGCATACAAAAAGAGGCTTGGCTGTTCTACATAATTTCATGCCATATTTACACACCATTCATAGCTCGGGTTCATCTTGAAGGCCTTCGTCAATTTGGTATTGAGTAAGCTATTGCTATGGCGTGCAATACTGAGCAGAGAAACTGTGACATATGGGTTGTTGCAGTAAATGCGGTCACTTCCAAAATGACATGTTAAGATTCACACATGTATGCTGACATACTATTAAAATTCAGAACACATTTCTCCATACTCCTCACTACCCCCAATTTTCTGCCTGATCTGCTAAACCCAATCCATTTAGAAGCCACTTAATATACTTCGGGGTAAATGTTTTAGGAGAAGAGAAATGTTTCTGAAAACTGTCCTGTTTGATATCTCTTCCAATCAAATTAAATTAAGTAATGTATTAACCGTTTTACATCTGCTTATTAGCTGATCATGTGTAATAGGAATGTAGTTGTTGAGAAAATACTTAGTCTAAAAAGATAGATGCGTCTGTAACTAATGATGCTTTTCTTTTGCCTTGTACCATACCTTTTTACTAGTGTGGCTTTGATTAATAAATGTTTATTGTGTGGAACAATGTGTAGTTAGGATAGAAAATCAAACATAATACTTGGAAAGATTATTCATCTGTCTGTTTCTGCAAACATACTTCTTGATATTTTTATTATTGAGGAAAAGAGAAAAATATTAATTGGTATTTTCTAATTCCCAATGCTTTTATGTTTAGATTTAACATAAATATATATTTAATCTAATTATATAGATGTATTAAATGCATTTCACATTAGCATATACAGTCACCAGGGGAAGATACATGCATGTTTTATAGCCCTTCACTCCCTTGCCTTTTTGTTCTTCTTATGAGTTTTGGAGGTCTACAAATGAAACTGAGAACTTCTCTTTGGGTTTCTGTTTTAGAAGTTATTATTTCATGACAGGGTCTTGCTTTGTTTCCCAGGCTGGGCAACACTGCTTTGTTGCCCAGTAGTGTGATCACTGCACGCTGTAGCCTCTACCTCCTGAGCTCAAGAGATCCTCCTGCCTCAGCCTCCCAAATAGCTGGTACTACAGGCATGTACCACTATGCCTGGCTAGTTTTTTTTTTTTTTTTTTTTTTTT